GAAGGACACTTGGATGGATTCTACATTCTCAAATGTCTTGAAATGGTTTTGAGGTATGAAATAAATAATAGAAGTAGTGAGACATTAAAAAATGTTTGATATAGGAAGAGCACTCATGAAAATGTCGATATAGACAATATGTTATATCTATACTATTAAAATGGGATGAAACCTAAACCTACTTTAATGAGTTTATAAAGTATAGTCTTTAAAATATAAGGTGTAGTACAACTATATGAAAATCTTAATATATGTAATATAACATCATATCATGGTCAGAGTAATATGAGTTTGTAAAATATAGTCTTTGAAATATAACGTGTAGTACAACTATATGAAAATATAAATATATGAAATATAGCATCATATCATGGTTAGAGTAATATGAGTTTATAAAGTTAATATATGATGCATATATCAAAAAATCTTAACCAAAAAATTATAATGTTGAAAATCTATAGATTGAAATCGTGTAATATAAGGTCTATAACACAATATAAATGTATGAAATATAGTATGGAATAAATCGGGTATATGTAACAAGTGATATGATTTGTTACAATCGATATATATATATATATATATATATATATATAGACGTAAGATTAAAAAATAAATTACTAAAATACCATTAATGAGATTACTGACAATTTTCATCAGTCGACTTTTTAAGGGTGCATTCACTTTTAATAGTATAGATAGATTATTTATTAATGATTTCAACTATTTTTTTTAAAAAAACAAAAATTTGGAAGCTTAACAAAAAAATTCCTGTCTTATGTCTATATAAATATTTTTCAATAATTTTGAGGATCTAAAGACAAGATTTTATTCGGTTTTGCCTTATTCGGTTTTGCCTAGTACCGGCCCAATGTGATTCACTTATAGGTCATGAATGAGATACAATGACAATGAAACGCTTATATAACACACGGCATACATAATCGGATGAATATTGTGGAGCTTTTCTGTTACCTCGTGAAGTACACTTGTTGTGTTGTGTCACTACACAGCCTTGTTCGATGTGCATCATTAGGTTCTACTTATAGCAATATGTTGCCTCATGTTCATGGCCATACCTGACCAGTTCTGTTACCTCGTGAAGTACACTTGTTGCGTTGTGTCACTACACGCATTATTAGATGTGCATCATTAGGTTCTACTTATAGCAATATGTTGCCTCATGTTCATGGCCATGTCTTACTACAAGCTGGTCAAGCATGAGCTTAGAGTCAAAATATATATAATTAGTTTAGGGACCAATTTGAAAGACAGCTTAGGAATTGTTCCATGCCTTAAGAACAAAACCAAGTGGACGCAATAAGAGGGTGATCATTAAAACAGATATGAATAAGGCGTATGATCAGATGGAATGGTCTTTCATTGAAGCCACCATGAGGAAGATGAGATTCTCAGAAGTCTGGATTACCTGGATTATGCGATGTGTAACAATAGTAAAGTACAAGGTACTTATGAATGGACATCTAAGAGGGAATATTGTCCCGGAGAGAGGTCTACGTCAGGGGGATCCTTTGTCCCCTTTCATTTTTATTATATGCACGGAACCGCTCGTTAGTCTTCTTAATCACGCAGAGAGTCAGGGAAAGATAACGGGGATGCGTATCACGCGTGCGTGTCCGTCGGTATCCCACCTACTCTTTGTTGATGATAGCCTTTTCTTTTGTAAGGCGGAACCCCGTGAATGTGAAGAAGTAATGAAAGTGGTTAGGAAATATGGCCAAGCCTCTGGATAATGCATTAATTTTGACAAGTCTTCTTTACTCTTTGGTAAGAGGATTGGTCAAGAGACCAGGCAGGAGATCAAGGATACAATTGGGATCCAAAGTGAAGCAGGAATGGGATCTTACCTAGGGATTCCAGAGGATATCAGTGGCTCAAAATGTAAGATGTTTGCCTTCCTAAAAGAAAAGCTTCGGAATAGAGTGAATGGATGGACGGACAGGTGGTTATCTAAAGGTGGAAAGGAAGTAATGATAAAGTCAATCATGTTAGCTCTTTTAACGTATGTTATGTCTTGCTTTTTGCTCCCATTGGAGATATGTGATGCCTTGGCCAGTGCCATTGCACAGTTCTGGTGGAGCTCAAATCCACCAAAGAGAGGCTTACATTGGACAACATGAGATAAGTTATGTCTATCTAAAGAGGAAGGAGGAATTGGTTTCAGGATGATCCATGAGTTTAACCTGGCGTTACTAGCAAAGCAGTTGTGGAGATTGGCCCAAAATCCAGATTCCTTGGTAGCTCGAGTTATGAGAGGGCGGTATTTACGACTTAGTTCGCCATTGCGAAAGCTCACTGTCAGCAGCCCATCATATGTGTGGACAAGTATCTCGGCTGCACGTGAATTATTGCTATTGGGGGCTAGACAGAAAATTCACTCAGGTTACGAAGTAGATGTCTGGGATGATCCATGGATTCCCACAATCCCAGCGAGACATGCGCATGCATCTGCTCCGGTTCTCCATCTGAACATGAGAGTGAGTGATCTTATCAATCAGGAAACAAAATCTTGGGATCTGAATCGGTTGGCAAATTATGTTGACGCTGCTGATATACCTCTCATAAGGAGTATGACAATTAGTTCAACCCATTGCAGAGACACACACTGCTGGAGTTACACAAGGAGTGGGCAGTACACAGTCAAGTCCGGCTATTGGGTAGCTCGAAACATACTAATGAAGGACGAAGAGATTCTGGTAGATGAACCTAGCATTAAAAGGCTCCAAGCACAGGTCTGGAAGGTTAAAGCACCCCCGAAGATGTGCCATCTTATGTGGAAGATTATATCGGGACAGGTGGCTGTTACAAGTGCACTGAACCATAGACACATGAGATGCGATAATTTCTGCCCGCGATGCGGAGAGTCAGATGAAACAATTGCACATGCAATATTTCAATGCCCACCGGCTTTACAGGTATGGGCCTTAGCATCTATACCCACCAGCTCAAACTTGTTCTCCTTGGAGAGCACATATGCGAATATGGATTATCTATTCTGGCAGAAGAAAGGTCTTTGTGGGTCAGAATTAGACAGAGATCCTTATCCTTGGTTAATATGGTACATTTGGAAGGCTTGGAATGATAAGTTGTTCAGAGGAATAGATAGAGACCCTCTGGAACTGGCCCGGTATGCAGAGAGTGAGTGTTTTTCCTGGTTCCAAGCTAATGAATAGGAAGTTGTGATTACACAAGAGACCGGCGATACTGAACGTCATGCCATAAGCCTACAAGATATTTGCATGATAGACGGTTCTTGGACCTCTATGGATTAATTCTCTCGATGTGGTTGGGATTGGAAGGATAGCACGGGAAATAGTCAGCTGATGGGGATGCGTAATGTGAGTAGAGTGGAGTCGGCTTTGCATTCTGAGCTGGAGGCACTGCGGTGGGCAATGGAGAACATGCTTCAACATTCGCCATGTTAGAGCTTTGGGACAGACTGCAAGGAATTGTTAGCAATGCTCACGAACCCCCATGGATGGCCAAGATTTTCGACGGAACTGGAGAGGATCTCGACGTTGAGGATTTGCTTCCCAGACTTCAAGATTAGTTATGTACCTTGATCTCTAAATGTTGTGTCCGATCATTTAGCTAAGACTGCCCGTTCCTTTTATCGTGATCTCATGTATGTTGGTTGTTTTATTCTGGTCTGGATTCTCAAACCACCTCAAGCTTTATTAATAGATCAGCCTTTCGTTGTTAAAAAAAAAAAAAAAACCATTGTTAATTCATGGGTTTGAACCCAGTTTTATACTATTTTGGGGACTAAATATTTCTTTTACTGCTTCCGACCTTAGAAAAGTCAGCCACGGCCTTGCTCTTGTTGTGGACCTCTACGATGACATATGTTTGGCTATTAGGTGTTATAGGCCTTGCTCTTGTTGTGGACCTCTACGATGACATATGTTTGGCTATTAGGTGTTATAGTTAAGCTCAAACAATTACATATCTTAACTAATAATCCTCATGAGGCCTATAGCGATCCCCTATACGATGTATTTTAAGTCATTATTTAAGGATAACACATAAGGCTTATCTTTTCTGATCTAAAATAAGATACTGTAATACATAGGGGTGGACACGAATTGGATATCCGGGGTTTTAAGGTATTTGTGATTTGCTTCGAATGTTACGGATATCTAATTTTGATATTTGCTTTACTTCGAAAAAATACGGATATCCGAAAAAACGGATATCCGGAAAATAAATAGATATTTGCGGATATTTATGAATATTTACGGATATCTCATCTATTTTGATTAATACAAATAATCTTAAGATTTTGATACAAATTTACTCTTTACAAAAATATTTTTTTTGCATAATATAGAAATAAAAATTAAAAGAACTAGTGAATTTACATATTTTGTAATTTTTTAAGTTTAAATTACAATTATAATAACATAAAATTTAAGAAAAAAATAGAATTGTCATAAAAATTTTCTCTCTTTTTATGTAATACTTTTATATAAGTAATAATGTGAATAGAATTTTTCAAAAGCATGTGCTAGAATAATAACTATATAATATTATACATTTTAAATTTTTAATATAAACAAGATATACATATATTTATATATTTTTGGATCGGATATCCGCTTCCCAAAATTTTAATATTTGTGATTTATTTCGATTTTAACGGATATTGAATTTTAGTATTTGATTTGATTCGAAAGTTTACGGATATCCGGAATTTTTGGATCGGATTGAAACGAATAACGAATCGAATCAAATATAACGGTTAAAATGCTCAGCCCTAGTAATACAAATAGAATATCTTTTACGTACACATCATGGAAAAGACGATCGAAGATTCGTCACAAGAGCCAGCCTCAGAAGAGAGAACGTGAAAGATTAAAACATGTTTCTTCATTTGTCTACCTGTTAAACCAAATGCACACACGCAAAAACCAAAGTATAAAGCCCTGCCAATTGCCAAAACGCAGCAACGCAAAAACAAGAAGAAGAATATTTAAAAGATGGAGGAAGAACTCAAAGTCTATGCTCCCATGCAGGATATCTCGAAACTCAACTCCGGTTTGACTAAGTTCATGGGAATTTTTACGACGTTTCTCGTCGCTGGTCTGTTTCACGAGCTACTTATGTTATATACAACTCGTGTAACGCCTTCAGGGGATATCACTTTGTTATATATGTTACATGGCATCTATACTGCGTGGGAAATGGTGGCGAAACTGACACCCTTTGGATGGCGATGGGCGGTGAGGATAGCGATGGCATTTATGGCTGTGACCATTGGTTGGCACTACTTCCCTCAGATATAAACATACACGCTCATGAAGTCTTGTGGTTCTTTAATTTCGTACGTCGCAAAGCATTTTCCGACCTGGTTGCAACCTAGTATATCATATAGTATATCATATCGTGAAACTACGAAATAAAACTAAACAGTATGTACGTATTTTCAATATTGATAAATAAGTTGTGCTAATGTTTAATTACCTTGTGAATAAACTCCATTTTATTTGTTGTTTTCGTTCATCGCAATTTATAATTTCATGCCATGCACCAGATATGTAAACACACTATATAATCTCTTAAACAATATGATTGATGATAACTATGTGGATAAAACACACAGAATATTGTGCATGATTGTTTTAATTAAACTGCCGGATCGTGACTAGAAAACTGAAAAGCACACACTTTGTAATATAAGGACATAAACAACGAAGAAAACGGAATCTATTCACAAATTATGCATAAGCGCAACTTATTTAGTTTTATGTCAGTGAATTTTTTTTTTTTTTTTGTCAACTTCTGTTCCAAATTTTTTTGAAACTAACTTCTGTTCCGAATTACCCAAGTAAAAGTACGTAAACAAGGGGTAAACCAAATAAGCTCATGAGACAGATAGGAGAACAACAATTACATACAAACTTCATCATTATCACAGCTTTTAACCTCATACCACACTTGATTGTGGAGCCGACCGTCCAAATGTCATATAACCGTCATTTCCTAGTCACGCTCTTAGCAGAGCAATAGATTTAGCAGACACTTTTTCTAGAATGCAAATCATTATAAGCATCAAAGCCACATACTAAAATGGTTAAAAAAATAATACATGAGTCCTCTAAAGATTTCGGGTACGATGCCTTTAAAACTGATATAGAATAACGTAGACATCGTATTTTTAAAGTAATGTTCTTGAATCTTGAGAATATCCGAGATAAGACGAATGTTTTCGTTCGGAATCTTTTTGCTATCACGTAGTGGGAAAAAAACGATAAAATAGTTCGTCCACACAAGAGCCAGCGTACACAAGAACGAGCCTTCGAAGGTAGAACGTATTCAAGATCCAGCTGCAGAAGGGAGAACGTACGCAAGAGCCAGCCTTAGAAGGTAGAACGTACACAAGAGCCAGCCTCAGAAGGGTAAGCGTAGAAGTAACCGGTTCCTTCATTTGTCTACATGTTAAGCTACAATCCCATATTATCTAATCATTTCCGGCTACTTAAGATACACACAACAACCAAGATAAAAACCTCGATGATTGGAAAAGATAATTATCAGCAAACACACACAAAAAAAAAGAAAAAAAGAAGTGAGACATGGAGGAAGAAATCAAGAGATTGGTCCTAGTATACATTTCCGCAATAATCTCCGTAAGTTATTGTTACTACATACCCTCCAAAATCAAAGCTGGGACTCCTCGATTACTCTCTATTCTTCCTGTATGTGTTCAGCTCTTTGTTTTCCCAATGCTCTTCTCCTCTCCCTTACTCATTTTCACCATAATGTTTACCCTAACGGGGATGGGAACTTTTAAGCTCATCCTCTTTGCATTTGATAAAGGTCCTCTTTTCCCACTTCCCACAAGTCTTTTCAGATTTATGTGCTTCACTTTGTTTCCCATCGAAAGACTACGAAAAAACCCTAAATTTCAATCTACTTCCCCCACTTGGGTTTTCTCCACAAAAGTTGCAATATGTGCAATGATGTTAATGTTACATATGCGAGGTTACAAACATAACCTTCCCACGATCATGTTATGGGTTCTGTATCCTCTATATTTCTACTTGTCACTTGAGATTTCATTAAACACCATCAAATTTCTGCTCACAATCATTCTTGGGTGCGATCTTGAGCCAGTGTTCGATGAACCTTACTTAGCCACCTCTCTTCAAGACTTCTGGGGTCGCCGGTGGAATCCAATGGTGTCTTCCCTTCTCCGGTCAGCTATATACGCTCCTTTGGTGGGGAAATCCAAGTCCGATTTGGCTATGTTCATCGGGGGTTTTACAACGTTCGTCATCTCTGGTCTGATTCATGAACTCCTGTTCTTCCACACAAGCGGCTATGAAATGCCTTCAGGGGAGATTACTTTGTTTTATGTGTTACATGGGTTTTGTACTGCGATAGAAATGGTGGTGAAAAGGTCAACGTTTGGGCAACGTCGGGCAGTGAGACCAGTCGTGTCTCGGCTGCTTACAATGACATTTATGATTGTGACCAGTGGTTGGCTCTATTTCCCTCAAATTTTAAGGGGGAAACTCAAATGAGATACGCCATTATATTACCGAATATTATATTGTTTCCTGAAATTATGAAATAAGAAAACTAAATATATCCTTATATTATATGTATATGTTTTTCAATATTGAAAAGTTAATAAGTTGTGTTAATTTCTAACTAGCTTTTGATGTCTTTTCTGCGTAATCATATATTTTAAACTTTTATAAATGCTACAAATTTAATTGTTTATGCCTTTTATGTTATAGATTCATATGTTATTCATGATTGACATTGGTGTGTCTTGTTCAATGTGATTATATTCACTTATAAACTATAAGATTATGTTTTTATTTTATTGTGCTTTATTTAGTTTATTTGGTAAAATAAACCATAAAATGTCAGATTTTTTTTATATAATGTTTAAAACTATTATTGAGATTTTTAAATACAAATTTATTATTTAGACAAAAATAAGAATAAGAAAACCAAGTTTAAAACAACATTATAAATGATAAGATATTTAATTGAAGTTATTAGTTTAGATTATTTGGTTATGAACTTATAGTTAAAATGAGCCAAAACTTAACTACTATGATCAAATTTTGTTTTCATCAGAATATATATATATATATGGATTAGGCTTTAGTTATATTTAATGGACCAAGCCCATAAAATATTAAATGTAGATTTTTTTTTTTTTAAAAAAAGAGCAAAACTACATCCAGTAGGTCTTAAAATAAGTTAGAAATTTTATAAAAAATATTTTGATAGGAAAAAGATTAAAATCATGTACTTAACAAAGATTTGTAAATAATGGACATTTAGATTTATTAAACTAAATTATTTTCAATATAGATGAGTCAAAGTAGATTGATTCATGATAGTCTTTGGTTTAGGGTTAAATAACATGTGTTATAGTAATGTTTGTATTTTTAGGGTTATATTTTTTAATTTTAACATATTTCAAAAAAAAAAAAAATTTGGCATATATGTTTTTAGTTTTGTGTATATTAAACATTTTATAAGTTGATTTTAAATTTAGTGAAATTTTTGTTTGACATTTTGTTAGTTATTTGCTTTTATGGTTTGGAAGACTTCCCCAAAAATCTTCTAAGATATAATGTCTGATTAGTGTTTTAACTGTAGAAAATTTAGAGGTTTTAAATTAGTTGTAAAGCCATTAGAAAAAATTATTCCAATCAGACTTTAAGCTATCTAAAGTCTTTAAAGCTTTTCTTAAAAAAATCTCAGAACCTACAGGGTCCGATTGGTAATGGCTGTAGCTTTAAAATTTTTGCTGTAGAAAAAAATCTGTATACTTTTTGCTGTGGTTTTAGATTTTATTGCTGTAGATTTTTTGGAAAGCACTAAAAATTTGCTTTGGATATTTGACTCTGCAGAGCACTTGTATAGCTGTAGATCATTTCAAGAACTGTGATTTCAAAAAAAAAATTAAAGCTTGTTTGCTCTAAATTTAGTGCTGTAGAAATAAATAGAGCTGTGGACAGCATCTACAACAACTACCAATCACCCCCACAATAACTAATTTTACTCATTACGTGATCTATCTACTTTATTAAAACAATAGTACCATTATAAAATATCTCTAAAACTTGCACATTATTTACTATCTAATGCCACTTAGAATTTAATTAAGTTAATGTTAAAAAATATTTTTCTTTTCCACCTACTGAATGGTTTCCTAAAATAATGTCAACTAACTGTAATGTAAGAAATAAATAATTAAATAGATATGTTTTTTGTTCAAATAAGCTCAAATTAATAACAAGAATCGATTTATGCCTGCACATTCCTAACAATGGATATTTTCGAGAGCTTCCTATTTCTAAGGAGATTAAGTAAATTCTACTCCCTCCATTTCATTTTAGTTGTCATTCTAGTTTTTTGCACACAGATTAAGGAAACATTTAATTTTACATATTTTCAAAAATACAATTACCTATACACCTAACCACTTTTCAACAAATAGAAAAAATAGAATATTATATAGAACTAATAAATTTTTTCTCGAAACTCTAAAAAAACACTTAATTTGTGACAAAAAATTAAGTCTAGAATGACAAATATTATGAAACGGAAGGAGTAATATATATCACAACACAACATTCGAAATACCACTAATCAAATCTTAGCTTTTCTTTTGACCACATGTTAATAAATTAATTAATTATACTACATAATAATGTACTAGCTATTTAAAATAAGAAATATTGTTTTTGAAAATATATAGAAAAAATATTTAAATTTAGTTATCTTTATCTTTATTTTTATTTCACATACAAAAAGAATCAGACTATTTAAATCTTTTTGTGACAATTTAGAAATGATAACATATTAAAAATATCAAGACTTAAAATTCATTAGTTTTTTATATCTAATGTGATAATAAATTTGACTCTCATTCTAAAATAACCCAAAAATATTAAATTTTGATAAATTTTAATTAATTCTTCTTCCAGTGGCATAGTGAAATCTTACAAATCTAAAAGTGACAAATAAAAATAAAAATTACTGAAGTCAAGTTGTAAGTAAGATTTACGATAAAAAAAAAATCAAACAACATAAAAATTGAAGGAAAAACAAAGTTAACAGTAGAAGTTGATGATTGTAAAACAAAAACAAAACATTTAAGTTTTTGTATTGAATGCAAATCAAATTTTATTAACATAGTTACAAAAATCTAAGGAAAAAAATAAAAGTTTTCTATTGGGTGGATCAACCAGTGGTTAAACATGTAGTCGAATTCCGAATTGTAATGGATTTTACGACTTTATTGGGTTTTAATATAACAATTTTTTTCTAAAATCCAAACCAGATTTACCCGTTCGATATCAGACCGGTCGAGTTTCAAAGCACTGATTATATTATAACTAATACTAAGAATATAACATATAATACAAATATTGTTTTTTAAAGTTAAAATAAATACATGCGCAGTTGCGCCGATCAGGATCTAGCTTTTCTTAAGCCACAATTCAAGGCTTTTAATATTTCTAAAGCCAAAGCCATTTTTTAAAAGTCCAATTTTTAACAGCCAAATTAAAATAACAGTCAAAGTCTTCTAAGTGAAGTTTTTTCATGTGATTAGATCTTAAAAATAATTTATTAAATTTATAAAAAAATATTTTGATAGAGGAAAAATCATAATCATGTAATTATAAACATTCCTAAATGACATAAATTTAGGTTTAATAAAATTGAATTATTTTCAACATAGATGAGTAAATGTAGATTGAGGCATGATATTCTTTGGTTTAGGGTTTGGTAACATATGATATAGTATTGTTTATATTCTTAGTGTTAAATTTTGGAACAACAATTTTTCTAAAAAAATAACAATTTGACATATGTGTTTATTTTTGTATATATTCAACACTTTAAAATTTGATTTTAATTTTAATGAAGTGTTTGTTGCTATTTAGTTAGTTACTTGATTTTAGAGTTTAGATGACTATTAGAAAGTTTTCTAACAAATAATGTACTATTTTTTTTTAATGTAAATCTTCTGGGTGAATAGTAAATTTAGGGTGTAGAAGATTTTTTAGAAGATTTTCATGTACGAAAGTCTTATGTATCAAAAATATTTAACATAATTAGAAATTTATTTTTCTATATTAAAAAAAATTACACATTCTCTTTCTTTCTCTCAAAATGAAGACAACAAAAATGTAATGTTTCTCACTCTAAAACTCTCAAACCTCTCTCTAAACTAATTGAACTTGATAACACCAAATTTATATCAATTTCTCATTTTTTTCTGTGATTCTTACTAATCTATCTTGTTTTTGTAGGTTTTTCATTACATAGTTTTCATTTTTTACTCATTTAAAGATAGATCTATAATTTTTTGATATGTATTATGCGGTTTTATGTATTAGATTCTAATAAGTTGTAGATTCAACATAATGTGACTGTTTTATTTCTTAGTTAAGCATAAAAAAATATTTTTACTTTTTTCTCTGTTATGATGTCATTTGAACGTTTTTGGATATGCAAGTTTTTTTTCAGATCTGAGTCAGATTTTGGAAGATTTCTCAGATCATATTTCACATAATTGGAATTTTCTCGTTATATAAGAGAATTCACACATTTTCTTTCTTCATCTCAAATGGATGCAACAAGAACATGATATTTTTCACTCAAAAACTCTCCAGCCTCTCTCTAATTTTTTTGAACTTGAAAACACCTAAATTTATATCAATTTATTTATTTTTCTTATGCCTTTCTCACTAATTTATTTTGTTTTGCAAGTTTTTCACTACATGGTTCTCATATTTCACTTCTTTAAAGGTATATTTATAAATTTTGGATATATATTTTTTGTGTGTTTATATGATAGATTCTAAAAAGTTGTAGATTCAATATAGTGTGACAGTTTATTTATTATTTAATCATAGAAAAATTATTTTTGAAGTTTTTATCTGTTTTGATGCAATTTGAACATTTTTTATATGTAGATTTTTATAATTTGAGCCAGACTTGTCGAAAGACTTCTCGGAAGACTTATGCATTAGAAGACTTCCACGGAAGTCTTCCAAACCGAAAATACCTAACCTAAGTAAAGTCTAAGCTTATCTATATAGAGAAATGATCTCAAGCTCTATGTGTAATAATTTTCTTTATGGTCTGTTTTATGATTGGTATGTGTACTCATTTAATTGTGAATTCTTTGTAAACTTTAAGAGAGATGTTAATGAAAATAATTTGTTAAATATGTTCATGTCTACAATATATATTATTTTGCCAAAATTACTTAACATTATTGAAGTTATGATACAACATATCAAGAAACATTTTAACCAAGATTATAAAACCAAAGGAGAAGACTTCTGAAGAAAACTTAGTCAAGTTCACAAAAGATCAAACAATACTTAGTCTCACTATAACACTTTTCGGAAGACTTCATTAGAAGTCTTCCTTTAACACAATCAATAAGAGAATATTTTTAAAGAAAATCCTTAAAAAATAATAATTAGAAACAAGTTAAGTCTTCCCACATAAGATTTTTCAGACGACTTCTCTAGAA